ACCCGTATCCGGGTCCGCAGAGTTTAACTGGTTTTAAAAGTTTTTTTGTTCCTATGTCTCTCTAGTTTTCATTTTCTAGATAATTTTTGCCTGCTATCTGCTCTTAATGTTGCACATAAAATCTACTGCAAGTTGTAATTTATTTTGTGATAAAGAGTGCTTTTGTAAATGATTGTGGAACCTCTGGTTATGCAGACAACACTGAGGAAACTCGATGATTTATTGGCTTTTAGGTCAAAAGTTTTGCATTCTGAAGGAAACTTTAAGGTTTTGTCGCGGGGTGAATGAGAACACAGACTCGGTACTGATCGAAAGAGCCCCGGAGGGTGATTTATTGCCCACACACTGATCACACGTGCTCGGATGAATGGTGCTCGGTGCCCGTCTCAGCGTGGTGCTCGGGGGGTGAAGTGCCGTGGTGCAGATCCCTCTCCTGGGGTGCCGTCGGAGTCTGTGAATAAGGAGAAACAAGCATTAATGTCGCCTGGAGCTCCGGGGTGCCTTCCCGCTGGTGTCTCTTCTCCTGGCTTTTATGGCCAGCGGGAACGAGCTCCAGGTGCGCCACTCATCACGCACAGGTGTTGTGCTTCTGTGATCAGTGTGGCAGCGGCGTTTCCTGTGGGGAAACACACAACTCGTTTTGGGGGTATTACGGGGGGGGATTTTAGGTTACCTGCCAGACCTGCCCAACCGGACCAGCCCCGGGAGAGACCGTCCGCATTCCCGTGATCGGCCCCGGACGCTGATCTGGACTCGGGATACTCGCCACAGTTTGTAGATTGTGACCATTATTGGGCCTTTTACTGTATCTCTAGATTACTTAATTAAAATGATACTTTGCAGAAATAACATATATTCAAATATCCAACTACCCAATGACACAATTAATGCAATTACATGTAGATACATTTCCTCTCTTTTTTTGCTTGTGAAATCCTTAAATAATTAAAGCTGTATTTGTCTTTGTGCCTCTCTATAGATGAGCCCTACTATGACCGCCTGACAGAGAGTTTCCTGGGTTTGATTGCAGCAGTGATTGGAGGTTTACTTGTGCTGGCGGTCATTGCTTTAGTAGTTTATATCTTAAAAAAAAGAGAGATTATTGGTGAGTAGTGACTGTTTGGTTGAGTGAGTGAATGAATAAATAAATGTACAATTCACCCAAAAAATAAAATTCTGTCATTACACTCACCCTGAGAGGTCTTCTTTGGAGTTCAACTGGAAACAAATACAGAATACAGGTCTGATGACAAAATTTAGATTTTGTGGATATAGATGTTACTAAATAACAAAATAAAATTGAAAACATGTTTTTGAAAGATTATAGTGCGTTGAATTGGTTAGGGTTGCACGATTAATGGAAATAAAACCGAAATCGCAATATGGCTTAAGGATATCCTCAATTAAAACTACTTTTGCATTTTTCTAGATTCTCACCCTGTCTGCCTACCAGAGACTGCCACAGGTTTGATTGCAGCAGTGATTGGAGGTGTGTTTGTGCTGGTAGTTGCTCATTTAGTGGTTTGCATCTTAAAGAAGACAGGGATTATTGGTGAGTAGTGACAGATTATGATGATCCACACATTCCAGTTTTCAGTTTTGTGATGTAAAGGAATAATTCACAGTGGGGGTCTTTGATTTGAGTCCCAGCTGAGCCTTTCTCTGTGATGACTGCATGTTCTCTGTGTTTTGGCATGATTTTTTGGATAACTGTTATTTACATTAAAATAAAAATAGAGTGCAAAGAGTATTCAAAAATGGTTATATCTGTCACATCCTTTAGCTTACAAAAGAACAAACTCACAAGAACCTGAACATCAGAATGCTACAATTCCTCCACAAGAAGGTACCAGTAATCCTAATATATAATCAGTCAGATATCTACAGAATTCACTGGTATGATTTAGCTATTGTTTTGGCATTTACTTGGCAAATTTTAAGTAGATTTGTACCACATCACTGTGGACATTTCACTCTTTCTCCCACAGAAGGAGAGGTTTTCTGGTAAACCATCAGAATGCAGTGTGAGTAGCTTTATGGAGGAAGTGAATCACCGGCTAACTGTATTTTAAATATCAGGGCAAATGGAAACAGTGCAAGATGACATTTAGGACATGAAGATGTAACAGATGCACTTTAAAGCACATATGTTTTGATGTTTTTATACCAAGTACTCAAAGGAAAATATTTTTTATATGAAGAGAGCTAGTTTTCCAGACTTACAGTACCTCTAAAGGGACAGACTGCAATCACTTACAGCATTTTTAATATTTTAAATCTGAGTGCCAATAATAATAATAAAAAAAACAGAACATACTTGAGAAATGACCTCATATGCTAATAAGTATCCTGTATGCTCCATGTGAAATATTGTTTCTGTATTATTATTCTTTTTTCTGACGTCAGTCTGTTATTGGTGTGGGATCTATTTATTCTTAAATGTTGCTTCTTTGTACTGTTTAATTGTTTTTGTCATATCCAGCTGCTACAGAGGGTTGCAACGAGTTGACTGTATTATAAACAGTTTCATTTTCTACAATGTCGCCACTGGAAAAACACAAATTATGACGGTGATGATCTCAGGTGCTGATTATGTGCTTTATTTAATGTTAAAAGCATTTAATGTGAGTTTGAATATCATTTTGTGTGACCTTTATAGCCGTACTGAAAACGAAAATTAATTTACCTCAAACTATGAACTCTATGGGAACAAACAAGTGTTTGTATCAAAGATGCTACAATATGATATCAACGTCTGCTATTCTATAAATGAAATGTTCCTGTATGAGTTTTGCACTTGACAGATGAACAGGCTACACACTACCCACCTACAGTATGTCTTATTTGTAAACATTTTGAGAACAAATAAAAAGAACTAGCTATCAAACTCTACTACTTGGCAAAATAACTGTTTATTCTGAATGATCATAAATTGATAATTGTTGTTTTTAAATGTAATAAACCACTCTAGGCTGTGTGGCGATGGACATTTATTCATCTGTTTCAATCAACTTTTCTATTCATAATGATATATTTGCACTACATTATATTACATATATTATTTCACATTACACTGGCTCGTTCACCAGTAGTGGTATGAAACATATTTTATGTTCACCTGCAAATACAATTAGCTTTCCTGCTGTTAACAGGACGCTACAGTGTTTCCACTCTGACAAGCACGGCCACGTCCAACATGTCCACTTCCAAGGCATAGTATGCTACATGTGCGCACCAGGATGCAGGATTTACCACGCAATACATGGTCCAGATCAGCCTCCTGACAGCAGATGGACTCTGACACAGTGGGCATCTGCTAGCTGGGATATGATAATATGCCTTCCCGCTACAGATATACCTTTTAAGAGGCTTGGTCTAACATAAATATTCATAAGCTGAGTACAAAACAAACAAAAAAAAGGTAAGGGGAAATGGGACAGCCGTGTCTGACACCACGTTTTAAATAAAACCTAGAAAATGAACCTCCTTTAAGTTTAACAGAACAACATGTTTGCATTCGTATACATTGTTTGCATAGATTTAGAGAAGAAATCTCCAAACCCCACTGTGTCGAAGGCTTTATAAAAATCTAAGACCTGTTGGTTCAGTCTTGCGTCACTTCCGCCCAGATGCGGATGACGTCACTGATTAAAACGTCATTCTGCTGTTGGCAGTTTCTGCGTTTCTGCGTCGATGAAGCAACGATGTCAACAAGAGTAACACGCATAGCTTTTTAATAATGGCCACGGGTTTCGACAAAATCTTTGTGCTGCTTTGTGTTTTTCGTATTTTTTGGACTCCAATACAAGCAGGTAAATTATTAACTTGTAGTTCAGCAGAGAATGAAAGTGAAAGTAACTCGTTTACTGGTCTTAAACGACGTGGTAGCGACATAATTGAAATTTGATTACAAATCGTATATAATAAAGTATGTTTATATAGGTGTATATCTATACAACTAACTATTTTACTACATTAATTATTTACATGTTAATTATTTTATTAGTAATTTATTACAGTTGAATCAGGATTAAGTTTTAGCAGTCTCGAATGAATTTACATAAAGACTTAGCTGATCTAGAATCTGATCTTGTCTGATATCATTAGGATTGCCTAGTAATGTCTCTCAGAGAACAGGTCTAGATTCATATATTGAGATTCTGTCTATTTGCTTCTTCCTGTATCTGAAATGTTTTGAGACTCTTCTTCAGAAGCATGCAACTTTTACATTTACACTTCAGTGAAAAGTTATTTAATGCACATTTTATTGCTCTTCGCTGCAGAGAAACACTCGCTGTATTACATTTACACGGCTTTGTCCAAACCTGTCGATCTGCCGGGCATCTATCAGTTCACTGCTATGGGTCTGCTAGATGACATACAGATCGACTATTACAATAGCAGAGAACAGAGGAAGATTCCCAAACAGACCTGGATGAAGGAGAAACTATATGAGGATTACTGGGAAGAAGGCACCCAGTCAAGAAAGAGCAAAGAACAGTGGTTTAATGTGAATATCGACATTCTGATGAAACGCATGAGACACCATGAATCAGGTGAGGAACATTCTTACAGATTGACCTGCATGTACGTCATTTGAATTATAATATTATCATTTTACAAATATTTTTTCTTTTCATTTCAGATCTTCATGTTTTTCAGATGAGAACTGGTTGTGAAGTTGAGCAATGGGAAAGTGAAGTGAAGTTTTCCAAAGGCGTTTATGAGTACGGCTATGATGGAGAAAACTTTCTGTCGTTTGATGATAGAGAGTCTCAGTGGGTCGCTCCAGTTTACGCAGCTCTACCAACCAAGAGTAAATGGGACAATATGCCCTTCCTAAACCAATACACCAAAGGCTACCTAGGAAAAAATTGTGTGGACTGGCTCAACAAATTTACAGAATATGGAGAAAATGAGCTCAGAAATGGCTGTGAGTAAACGTGTTAGTATTTGTTTGATGATTTGTAGCTGTTTTAGAGATAGAACTGTTTAATGAACTGATTCCTGTGTTTTCAGCTCCTCCAGATGTTCATATGTTTGCAAAAAGGTCTACCAGCGACAAAACCAAGCTGACCTGTATGGTCACCGGTTTCTACCCCAAAGACACAGTGTTGTTCATTAGGAAATATCGCACATCTCTGCCTGAAGATGAGACTGAATCCACAGGAATCAGACCAAACCATGATGGCACCTTCCAGCTGAGGAAGAGTGTGGAGACCCAGGAGAATGAAAAAGCAAATTATGATTGTTTTGTTGCTCACAGAACCCTCAAAGAACCAATTATCACCAAATGGGGTAATTAAAACAGATACACATACAGACAGAAACATCACTTGATACCGGAATAAAAAGAAATGATAAATAGTGTTTATAAATAAATAAACTTTTATTACCCCCTTTTTCTGCTTGTGACATCCTTAATTAATTAGAACTATTTTTATCTCTTTGCATTTATACAGATGGAAATTGCCAGGACTGCCCACCAGAGATTGACCTAGCTATGATTGCAGCAGTGACTGGAGCTGTGCTTGTGCTCACAGAACCCTCAAAGAACCAATTATCATCAAATGGGGTAATTAAAACAGATACACATACAGACAGAAACATCACTTGATACCGGAATAAAAAGAAATTATAAATAGTGAACTTTTATTTCCCCCTTGTTTTGCTTGTGACATCCTTAATTAATTACAATTATTTTTATCTCTTTGCATTTATACAGATGGAAATTGCCAGGACTGCCCACCAGAGATTGACCTAGCTATGATTGCAGCAGTGACTGGAGCTGTGCTTGTGCTCTTGATAACAGTCGTTGGTGTAGTGGTTTACATCTTAAAGAAGAAAGGGATTATTGGTGAGTATAGTGACTGATGGTGATCCACAAGTTCTTGATTTCGGTTTTGTATGCTAGGACGGACTCCAGCATTCTCATGACTCTACATAGGACAAGCAATGAATGAATGAACCTAAAAAGAAGATTCTGCCATAATTTACTCACCCTCCTGTCATTCCAAACCCTTTCAAAACTTAATTCAAACTTTGGTTAGTCATCCAAACACAAGTTAAGATATATATATATATATATATCTTAAAAATGTAATTTTATATATATATATTTGTTATTTTAT